GTGATGTGGGCGACGGCGATTGGGTTGTTCGTCCAGCTCCTATCGGCTCGTCTCGGGGTCGCCACGGGCCGACATCTGGCGGAGCTCTGTCGGGAGGAGTACCCTACGTGGGCGAGGATGGTTCTGTGGATCATGGCGGAGGTTGCTCTGATCGGCGCCGATATACAGGAGGTTATCGGAAGTGCCATAGCCATCAAGATTTTGTCTAATGGGTTTATCCCTCTCTGGGCTGGAGTTGTCATCACAGCTCTCGATTGGTAATTTCTGTTTCTCTGTATGGCTAGAACCCAACATAAACCCTAAATTTCAGATTAGGGTTTCTCATAGTTGCTTTGCGTACTGAATCACTCATCAATTATCAATATGTAATATAGTACTTATTGTTGGAACTGGTCTTGTTGCTACGTTTCTCGTGTTTGTTCAGAGGAACGAGATCTACAAGAGGGAAAATGATTCTTTTTGACAGGATTACTTTCTTAAATTGGATTTATTGCAGTTTCATCTTTCTGTTCCTGGAGAACTACGGCATAAGGAAACTAGAGGCTGTGTTTGCTGTCCTAATTGCAATTATGGCAATTTCTTTTGCTTGGATGTTTGGTGAAACAAAGCCAAGTGGAACAGAACTCCTTGTCGGTTAGATTCTCTTTGTTCTCGTGTCTTGATCTGTAATCTCTCCTTTTCTCTGGAGAAAAGAGGCTAGCTTCCGTGTTTTGCAGGAGTCCTGGTCCCAAAGCTCAGCTCAAGAACAATAAAACAAGCTGTGGGTATCGTAGGATGCATTATCATGCCTCACAATGTGTTCTTGCATTCCGCACTCGTGCAGTCCCGGGAAATTGACCCGAAAAAGACGTATCGGGTCAAAGAAGCGCTCATGTACTACACCCTCGAATCAACCGGCGCCCTCGTAGTTTCGTTTATAATAAACGTCTTTGTGACCACAGTGTTTGCGAAATCGTTCTTCGGGACAGAAATAGCAGAGAGTATTGGACTTGTCAATGCAGGGCAATACCTACAAGACAAATATGGGGGTGGGGTTTTTCCGATACTCTATATATGGGCCATCGGGGTGTTAGCCGCGGGTCAGAGTAGTACTATCACCGGTACTTATGCGGGGCAGTTCATAATGGGAGGATTTCTGAACCTCAGGCTGAAGAAATGGTTAAGGGCCTTAATAACACGGAGCTTTGCGATTGTCCCGACCATGATAGTGGCCCTTGTTTTCGACTCGTCAGAATCTTTGCTTGATGAGATGAACGAATGGCTGAATGTTCTGCAATCTGTTCAGATACCCTTTGCTCTTATTCCCCTCCTTTGCTTGGTCTCTAAGGAGCAAATCATGGGCAGTTTCCGAATCAAACCCTTTGTCCAGGTACCTAAAGTTTTTCCCTTTTTCATTCCCGGCCATGATGGCTCGTTCTGCAATCTGTTCATCGTAATCATATATCGCATCATCGTAGTCATATATATCGCCATTGTATTTGCAGGCGGTAGCCTGGATTGTGGCAGCGCTGGTGATAGCCATTAACGGGTATCTTCTAGTGGATTTCTTCTCAGGAGCTGTAACGGGCGTGGCATTTCTTACAGTGGTAGTCATCGTCACCATTGCGTATGTCGTGTTCGTGCTTTACCTCATCTCACACGGCGTATCCTTCACTCCATGGCGCCTGGTTGCTCCATCATCTAAACAAACACTGACAGATGCCGTCGAATAATCTGCCTGCCCATACATCTGTAGTAGTGGAATTAGTCTTCCAATCTTTCAGGAGGCATGTCTGAAGAGTGATGGATTGGTCGGAGGAACAACAGACAAAGTTGTTTCCAGATGTTGTTGTCATGTTCCTTGTTGTCCAAGGAATTGCAGCCAACCGCTTCAAAAGAAAATTGGAGGCATGATGTTGTAGGAATATCTTCCTATTTCGGCTTCTATGATAATGTAAGAACGAATTTTCCATGTAGAATAATTATCAATCAGTGGATGGAAAAATACGTGTTTCATAGTCATAATCTCATTATCATTCAAGACATGGGTTAGGACTCGATTAAGGATTTCATCATTTGTTCCACTTGAAAGTGACGTTTTTTATTTATTTAATTATAAAAATACATAATAGATTTTTGTGGGGTTGAACAAAGATGAAGAAAAATGAAAACTGGTCAAAATTCAAAGGAAGCGACTTAACGGAAACGCGCTTCCTTTTCAATCTCGGAGCTTTGGGGAATTTTATGCGTTTTTCCTTCTCCGTCAATCAATTCCGGTCCTTGCGAAAATGCACCCACAATTATATATACATATATGTATATATGTATATATAATGCAGACGTCGGATTCATGATACAGAGAAATACCGAACCGGGAAAAACAACCATTTTTTTTTGTCTTCGTGCAAACGAAACGACCGAAACTTAGGAGGGAGAGCGAAAGAGAAAACTCCCCATCAGGTACTTCTTCTTCTTTCCTTTTTTTTTTTTTTAAGTGTCGCTTCTTCTTCCTTTTCTGTAAGTTAGGTTTGATTTTGAATTTGGAGATCGAAGCTCGAAACAGTTTCGATCTCTGTTCGATTCGAAGTTCTTTAGAAATAGCGTTAAAGAAAATACTTACACGCCTGCTTTGACTTGTAATTTACGATCTTTCTGTACGATGCGAAGTAAAAACATTTATAAATTTCTAGGGTTAACGCGAAGTTAGGAGGATTTCTGGGTTTTGGTGGGTCCTCGGCTCTGTAAATGCTTGTGCCCTCGTCTTGATCCGATTGAAAGTTTTAACCATTGAAGGTAAATATAGAAATTACTGCATTGTTCTTGCATTTAGGGCATAGATTGAAACTTGTACAAGCGGTTATGATGTTAGATCATACGAAGTTATCATCTTTACACCTGCCAATAGACGAGAGCTGTTATCTTTATGCTGAGAGAGAGGCTTGATGTTTAGCTTCAGTTCTGCTTTTGTTCAAGTGAATTGGAGCTGTAGGATTTATGGCAGTTCAAGTGAATTGGAGCTGATTTGAACTTGAATGTAGCCGAGGAACGATATAAATTAATCTTAATGACTTGCTTTTGTTCTGAATCAATGGTCTAATGCTCTGCAGATCTCATTTTAGGAAATTTGATTACCTAAGCATTGATATAGTCTTCAACTTTGACTGCTGGTGGAGCTTAAAAGCCTCAAGTTTCCATATGTGAATTTCTTTTCCATCGACAAGTGACTGCTGCTGCTGAACTTGAGTGGTTTTACTTCATCTATAAGACATGGTAAGTTTCTCAAAGTCTTACATACCTTCGGAGTTTCAGATTGCTTTTGTCTTTTTCAGCTATAGATTCCTAAGTTTACTAATGCCCGAGATTCCCATGGTTTACTTTCTGGCTGTTGATGACTGAAGGTTCAAATGGAGATGTCGTGGTTAAGATCACTTCTCGATAACATCTCCTCATTTCTAAGTCTATCATCTCTCGACAACATAAACTCTGACCCGGCTCGAAAGTACTACGCAAAGGGGGAAGAGGTAGCAAAGATTTTGAAGCCCATTCTTTCAGCCCTTTTTGACTCTGATGCTGCTTCAAACGAGTTGCTTAACAATGGATTTGAAGAGTTAGCCCAATACGTGGACGAATTAAGGGAACTGTTCCAGAGCTGGCAACCTCTCTCAAGTAGACTTTATTCTGTAAGTATAGAATCCTGCGGTCATTTGTGAGAGAAAGAATTGTTTAACTAATTCAATTTCTCTTTTGTTGTTCTATAAGGTTCTCCAAATCGAATCATTAGTGTCAAAGGTGAGGGAGTCCAGCATGGAGGTCTTCCAACTGCTGACACATTTCGAACAACAGTTACCTGACGAATTGAGTTTATCATCTGTTGAGGTAATATGACAATGCCAGCTCCATCTGAATTCTTTTTACCATTCTGAACACATGGGTCAAAACTTGCTAACTGATATCCTATCTGTTACATAGGCAATTGAATCGATACTCGGTATGTTTCTCTTGCAGATTTTCAGTTTTGAGTTTTATAATCCATCCAGATTTTTCTTAACTGATGTCCTTACTATTTTGGGAAGAATCATTCCCATTGATCTGGAATTGATCCGAAATTTCTCTAGGACACTTTCTTGAACTCTCGTTTTGCTTATAGTACTTTGCTTTTTTTTTTCCAGAAATTTTATTACAGATACCCTAATCGCTTTGCTGTCGTTTTGTTTAAGACCCAAAAGTTGATTGGTTCTTCTTTATAATGTGGTTGTTTCTCTGAGAACATTACAGCCACTTTCAATTTTGAGCTACATATTGATAAAGCGTTCATAATTGCAGCACTGCTTAGAAATGATAAAGAAAATGGGAAACGAAGTGATGTACTCAACCATCCATCAGGCTCTGAAGGATCAAGGAGATGGCATTGGGCCCACTGCAGAGGTTCTAGCGAAAATTGCAAAGAATCTTGGTCTGAAATCCAACCAGGAGATTCTGATTGAAGCTGTGGTCCTTGAAAGCATGAAGGAGAATGCTGAGCAAGGTGAGAAGAATAGTGAAGCTGAGTTCTTAGACCGATTGATTTCCCTCGTAAACAGAATGCATGATTACCTTACCAAGGTGAAGCAGTCTCAGATGGGTAGTCCTGTTCGGGTGCCTCCTGATTTTTGCTGCCCTCTGTCTCTTGAACTTATGACCAATCCAGTCATCGTTTCCTCTGGTCAGACATACGAACGTGTGTTTATACAGAACTGGCTCGATATGGGACTCATGGTTTGCCCGAGGACAAGACAGGTTCTATCCCACACCATTCTGACACCTAATTTCATTGTCAAGGCCTTTATTACCAGTTGGTGTGAATCAAACAATGTCAAGCCCCTGGATCCCTTGGAGTTATTTAGGTCGAGTCAACAGTTCCTTCTTCTTGCTGAAACATGTGTTGATGATTCGGGTAATTCTCATGTTACACCAAATGATTCACTTTATTCAGATGGACCTAGCGGTCAGGTGTCAGCTGTAAGCAATTGGGTTCAGTCAGAAAGAGATTCTTCTTCATCGAATTTTACTGGCACGTCGCAGGATAGTACTGGAGATTGGACTAACTTGGAAGACAAGAATACCAATTCACCAGCTAGGACAGGATCTTTACATGCTCCTGAAATTGAGGAACTGCCACAGATCCTCGGTAAGTCTGCTTCTGCTACAGATGAGGTCTCTGATGAGGTTCCTGGGATGGCAACAGAGTCAGGAACAGCTGCAGGTGCAGAAAACTCACAGAGAGAACATTCTGAGCTGTCTCGGGTACAGATTCAGACCATCCAACGCAACCCATCGCGAAGGCGTTTCCCGGGAATCATCTCAGCAACGATAACCGAAACAGGAACTGGTTCAAGTATAGAAACCGAGGTGAAGAAGCTGGTGGAGGACCTGAAAAGCCCTTCACTCGAAACCCAAAGAGAGGCTACGGCTCGTATCAGGATGTTATCAAGAAACAGCACTGACAACCGTATCGTGATTGCAAAATGTGGAGCAATCAGCTTACTAGTTGATCTGCTTAACTCAACCGATGCTAAAATCCAAGAAGATGCGGTGACTGCCCTTCTGAACTCATCCATCAACGACAACAATAAATTGGTAATTTCTGAGGCTGGAGCCATCGAGCCACTCATCCACGTTCTAAAAACCGGAACCCCAGAAGCCAAAGAGAATTCAGCAGCCACCCTGTTTAGCTTGTCAGTGATCGAAGAGAACAAGATCAAGATAGGACGGGCGGGAGCCATCGAGCCACTGGTTGAACTTTTAGGGGAAGGGAGCCTCAGAGGCAAGAAAGATGCAGCCACGGCTTTGTTCAGTTTATCAAAACAACACGAGAACAAAGCCTGGATAGTGCAGGCAGGGGCGGTCAGACACTTGGTCGAACTGATGGATCCAGGGACGGGTATGGTGGAGAAGGCGCTGGTTGTGCTGGCAAATCTTGCAACCATCAAAGAAGGGAAAGTTGCCATTGGTCAAGAAGGCGGGATACCGGTTCTTGTGGAGGTTGTGGAATTGGGTTCGGCCAGAGGGAAAGAGTATGCATAGCCCGCGGTTCTGCAACTCGGTCATACAAGAAGGAGCTATTCCACCTCTGGTGGCTCTTACCAGGACAGGAACGGCTCGAGCCAGAGAAAAGGTTCGAAACCTGAAACAGAACAAAAAGACTGGCTTTTTGTTTAGATTTCTGTTATGATCTTGCATAAACTCATTTTGAGTTTTGCTGTTAATGCAGGCACATAATCTTCTCAGGTACTTCAGAACACAAAGACAAGGGAATCATGGGAGAGATTGATCTTTCAGTTTCTTGTTATTCAAATTTTTTTAACTTGGTTTCATGTTTATGATTTGTGAATGTATGTAGAAATCTGGGTCTCTTTCTAACTTTGGCTTACAGGTTCTGTATTTTTTTTTTTTTTTTTTTCAACAAACAGAATAAAATCTGGTATATACATATACCTTCACACACGCATATTTGGCAAGTGAACAACAAAAATGACTACGGAATATAGTGGGCCTCTTCTCATGGGCCTACCCTAATAGGCCTATGGGTTAATGGGCCTACCTTCAGGTCAGTCAAGTCCACCCATAATAAGTTCAGACATGCCCATTTGTAATTATGTAAATCATGACTTCGAAACTGATATTGAGAGTAGACAGAAGGCGCATACATGGTGTAATTCCAAGCAGCAATGTACACTTGAAACAGGTCAAATAGGTCAAAGTTCGAAATAAAATATACTATATGATATTATGATAATGTGCCATATTTCACGTCTTTGCCTAAATAACATCATCATTGCTTGAATCATGCCGAGCACCTCCACCTATAAGATTCTACGGCTCCAGAAAATCAATATTATTGTTAGGCTGTTTTAAACTGTCACATTGCCCTCGGTTCCTTTTTTTTTTTTTTTGAATGGCGTGCTTGCATTGGTTCCATATTTTGTGTAATTTAATATTTGTATCATGGAAATAATATTATGTTAATCATCGTTAGCAACATTAGAATGGAACATTTATTTTTTAGAAGGTTATTTTCGATCGTGTGACACCCTACGTTCCGCTTTAATTCAAAACAAAATCAGCAAAATCTATAATGCACTAGAATACAAAAAGAAAATATGGTGGGAAAAATGATTAAGGCAATAAAAAAAAAAGCAAAGAAAAAGAAAAAGAGAAGCATGCGATTGCTGGGTGATCACGCCAAGCTCCTTCCATGGTCGACGAAGCTTGCATGTGAAAGTTCCTTTATCCACTCGAACGTTCTCTTTCGCGACATCGCCGTTTTCTCTGCTTTCTTCTTCGCCGTCTTCTTCTTCCTCCTCTGTTTCTCCTCCGTCGCCGCCACCACCGTCTCCACAGGACCGCCGGGGACACCATTCTTCAGAGGAACATCCGCTGTCGCGACCGAACACTTGCAGTCCCCGAACAAGAACCCTCTTCTCCGATCAGACGAGACAAACCCATTTCCCTGTTTCCTTGTTTTCGATCCCCATGTCGCTTTCCTGGAATTGCAGCTCGTGCTTGTGCTACTGCAGCTGCTGTTCCGACTGACAGATGATGATTTCGTGTTGCCGGCGGTGGGTCGGAGCTTGAGGTCTTGCAGCTCGATCTCCGGCGCGCGAACGAGGCCGAGCCGGAGAAAATCCCAGATTGAAGATTTCGGACTTCTGCTTGTACTAACACGCGCCGCTAAGCTTGACGTTCTTCTGATCTGTGGCTGTGGGCTTGGTTGACTGAAATAATTTATGAAATTGTTTTTCGTTTTCCGGCCAGATCCACTGCCGCCACCGCCGCCGGTGGTGGTGGTAGTGGTGCTGGAAGAGTAATGGCTGGGGCTAGAAACCGGGTCGGATCTCCGGTTGACCCGGCGTCCAGGCTCACTGAGTGGCGTAACGGTAAGATACGGCCTTTGAAGAACAACTCGTCCGCCGTACTCATCTCGGACCGTTCCGACCCGGCCCGCGACGACGACGTGACCGCGAAATCGAACCTGAAATCGGAATCTTCCTGTTCTTGTTTTGCTGACGCCTCGCGAGATTCCCCATTACTCGGAGATCCTCGAAATTCATCGACTTCCCTTACTGATAGATTCACCGGCAGATCGCATAACGATAACGCATCTTCTTCTTCATAGTCGTCGTCTTCGTGTGGATGTCGAGGGGAGATCAAACGGGTCTCTTCTATATTTTCTTCCGTACGTATCCTCGCCATGTACGAAGCTTCGGGAGATTCAATGCGAGAGAGCGTTTGAAAAAAATAAAAATAAAACGAAAGAGGAAGAGAAAGAGCTGAATATTTAAAGAAGAGAAGCTTCTGTTGACAAGTCAGTAGAAACAGAGAAGCCTTAGCTCATGTCTCATACATACATACATACATACATACATACATACATACATACATACATACATACATACATACATACATACATACATACATACATACATACATACATACATACATACATACATACATACATACATACATACATACATACATACATACATACATACATATATATACACTTAGGGACCAAACATAAGGCATCGAGAGAAAAAAGTTAGTTATTGCGGGGAAAAAAAGTTATATGCTTTTGTTCGAATTATTTAAATGGTATCATCCACGGAGCCGTATTAGTCCCCTTTTGCGTTTTATATTTATATATATATATATACATAAACTTAGATTTTCTATGGACAAACATAATTAGCAGTATGTAATTCAAAATTTCGAAACCCAAATATCTTATAACACGGAAAAAAACTATAACGCAGGTATGCATGCATGTGTATATTTCTTTAACATATGATACACCATAACGAGTGACCCTAAAGAATACAAAATTTGAAATAAATACAAACTATGGTAACGAAAGAATATCGGCTATGTTGGGTCGTGCTCGAGTGGGCCAACGCCACTGTTTTTGGCACGCCATGGTTAAACTTTAACCAGCACCATCACCATCATCAATATTATATATATATATACACACACACACATATATAGGACCATTTGCCTCCATCGATTTTTTTTTCGTGTCCATAAATAATACATAGATTGCAAATTTAAAAGAACGGCATCTTTCTATTTCAATCTTCGCATTTGAACTCGAGTAGTCCATGATAATCGACATGACTATAATTAATTTACGTGAAATCTTATTTACAAACTGACAAATCTCTTAGATAATCAATGCAAAATTATAACTTTTTTTTTAGCTGAAGAGAATCCTGTCAAGAAAAAACAACTGACGCCACTCATTATTTGGTAATCAATATATTTCCAAATATAAACATAAATGCGATTAGATATAAATAATTCATAATCTATTTATGAGAAAATGCGTAAATAATGTGCAACAAATTTACCATTATGATTTTATTTCATACAATGATCCTTTCGATAGAATTATCAAATTTCTTATCTCTTTTTTTTTCTACAATTGGCTAGAAACATGTTATACACTTGTCGCTGTCTTCTGTTTGTTCTCCCTTGGGATTTAGAAAATGTATAAATGTTTTTGTTTTTTTGGTCGTTCATAGTGAGCCACGTAAAAATTACAAATATGAAGATTGAAGACTGAGACTCTTCGCTCCAAGAAAAATTATATCCTAATTGTCAAACATTGATTTCTAGAAACAATATATTTTTCTAATGAAATATCATAAGGATAACAGATTTAGTAAAGTTTCTATTACAATGTTTTTATTGTTATTTAGTTATCAAGTCGGTATATAAAACTTGAATATGAATCAATAGAAATTTTCTAATTTTTTTCATTTATCTCTTTTATTTTTTTTCTTCTTCTTATTTTCCGTTTCTTTCTCTCATTTTTTAACTACAAAAAAATAATAACAGAATAAACTTATATATCAAACATAAAACTTTATACAAATAATATCTTCCACAATAAGAAAATTTGAACAAATTACAATGAAATATCAGATCGTAAGAAAAGTATATGTTGATTTTTATGAAAATGAGAAGCATGTTTTGACTTGATCCAAGCCGGGCCGCGGGGGGTCAGGTCATACCCACAAACAGTAAAGTCTTGATGTTGCGAAATAAAAACCACATGTTTTTTTTTTGTTCAATTTTTTTTTTATTTGGTGGCAACTATTTTTTTCTTCTCCATTGGTCGTGTCGTGAGAACCCGCGTGACGAAAAGGCATCATTTTTTTTTCTGTCTTTTTTGTAATTTCCCTTTTTTTAATAATCAATGCACAAATTTCAAATTGTCATTCATATGCAAAGGTATTTGCTCGTGTTTTCTTTTTGTTTAGAGGTGGCCAAAACGAACAGTTATGCCACTGTGTATGACCGTATAATTAATTATGATAATTTTCTACTCCGATATACCGTAGCTATATATACGAATTAAATTTAACGATCCTAAATAGAATTACTTTTACGATTTTAAAATATATAATATCGAATTTTTTTTAATCACATCAATTTAGTGATAAAACTTTAATGGAGGGTAATCTTAAAAAGCATCCAAAAGAAAGTAAAGTTGGATTTCATCTTATCTAAAGATATTTGTTTTGTTAAGAGTCTAATCTCAGTTTTATCCTTGACAAAGACTAATTATTATAATTACAGAAAATGCTTCTACCTAGGCATCGCATCATTCATTTACAGCCCAGCAATTCTATAAAAACAGCATTCAGGCCCATATCAGGCCCATAGTCCATAATGACCAAAGCCCATCAAAGACAAGAATAGGGCCCATATCATATAATACCATTCTTGTCTGGTTTCCACTTTCCCACATAACAAAGTTCATTCATTACTTTGTTGAAGAAATAGGACCAAAGTGAGAGTGTATATTTAAAACCGGGTAGGTTTGGTTTCATTATCCGACATGAACACCCAACTCGTTGCCTTACGGTCTCTACTGCGTCCGCATTCTGCTGCTTTCCGCTGCCCTCACTTGCCCAAAATATGGGTGGCTCTGTCCACAAGAACAACTGCTACATCAGACAATGAGATATACCCTCTCATTCTATGAATCCATGGATGGATATACAGTAAGCATTTAAGGGATGTGGTAGTGGTAGAGAATCAATAAAGACAATCATGGGGAATCTGTTCTTTTACGTGTGTGTATATATATACACACACACACGTACCATGGCTTCTCTTGCTGTTAATCTGTCTTGATGGTCATACCGGAGTAACTTGTCCAGGAAATCAATAGCCTACACTCGTGATATAAAACTTCAGCAATTTGCAGTAAAAGCAGAGTAGAAAAAGGTGGAGAGAGAAACAAAACCTCAGGTGAGATTAAATGCTGATTATCCGCATTGACGAATTTGGACCAAGGTTTCCTGCTGTGCCTGTGGTCACATACATCATGATCATGATCATTGACAAAAAAAAAAACGATATCATACCCCACCGTAAGCTGAGGGCGGAGGCGTTTTCTGTAGAATAAAATCATCACCACATCTCCACAATCTTAATCCATGCAGGGAAAACAGGAAAATTTTTGTACCTCCCAACAAGTGCCTCAAGCTGAGGATCAAGTTCCAACTGATACTTGTTTAGATATGCATTCAATTCATCAGTTCCCAGCACCTGAGACAGAACGGACAAATACTTGAAATGGAGCCAATACTAGTTCAAGAAGATGGGTTTATCCTCAACTGGCAAACCTAATCGTGTTAGTACAATTACCTTAGCAATTTTGACGAGTTGATCCTGATTGTCGTGGCCATAAAAGAATGGTTCCTTGCGAAATATCTGTAAGAACGGAATAATTAACAAAATCAAATGTCCACAACATGATACAGGGCAATGAAAAGGGAAATTCAGATGACCACTCACCATCCCTGCGAACATGCAACCAAGGCTCCACATATCCAATGAATAGTCATAGTCCTGTAAATCCACTAGAAGTTCGGGTCCCTTGAAGTATCTGATACATAAAGAAAAAACTTTCAGCCTATCTTATCATTCATCACAAACTGTAGCTCTATCACCAAAAGGAAACCGATGTCCAGCCAGTTTAATCAATTCAAAAAGAAATGAAATAAAGGGTACATAGAAAATAAAGTGATCCAAACCTTGAGGCCACACGGACATTATACTCTTTTCCAGGATGATAAAACTCAGCAAGACCCCAATCTATCAGGCGAAGTTTACGCAACTCATGGTCTATCATGACATTGTGAGGCTTGACATCTCTATGCATTATACCTTGTGAATGACAAAAGTCCAGTGCCTGAGTAATAATCACAAAAGGATGTCTCCTAGCTTAGTTGACAGCGACCCATGGAACATTCCGGACATCCAAAGTCAAATGAAGTAAAATACACCGATACAGCAATTACCTTCAACAGCTCATAGATGTAGTAGCGGATGTCATAATCAGTCAATGTAGGATACAGAACTTTGAAATCTGTGCTGTTAACATACTCGAATATCAAGCTTGGGGTTTTCGAGTGTTGATCTCGGACAACATCAAACAGCTTGACAATGTTTGGCCCTCCACAGATATTCTGAAGTATTTTAATCTCTCTTCTTATCTGAGAAAAGAGCATTCAAGCCTTCAAAAAGACAACCCGACATCCGACTAGACAAGATCAAGGCAGAACCTCATCAATGGAAGCCAAGTACTAAAAAGTCATCTGGTGTAGCGGCGATCTTATCTTAGCTCAACAATTTATCTATATGTTATCTGATTGTAGAAATGTAAGATAAAGTCACCTTCTTTTTCTTAACAGGCTTGAGGATCTTGATTATGCACTTCTCGTTGCTATTAACGTTTATGCCCTCAAAAACCTCACTATATTTTCCACGTCCAACCTTCCGGACTACCTCGTAATCATCTTGATCCCTGAAAACAAAAAGAGGAAGATATAAACTTTAGCAGAAGCACATTCACCCACCCAGCATAATCAAAGAAATGTGGCAAGAAGTTTTTAATTTTTTTCGTCCCATTCAATCCAAATTAATATCCAGTGGAGAGAAAATGGCCAAAATCATTCTTCCTCACGCTGATTCAGAATCCAGTATTGCAACTTTTCGAAAGCAGCTTTAAAAGCTCAATTTATACATTATTTGTCACCACTTTGATTAGATTTGAGCTAAATGGAAGAGAAATCAGGTAAATATGATCGTTTGCCTTCATTGCCCTTCCCCCACGTGATGACCATTAATCCAGAATCAGAATCCAACACGATAAACTACAGAAATACGATCTTTGGGCCATTAAGATTATCATCCGATCTCGCATGAGCACGAAACCGAAATTCAAATCCTAGGGTTTTCCTGTTCCAGAAAAAAACATTACCCCCATTGAACGTTAAGAGACTCGTAATCCCAATACTCCTTGGGACGAATCACGTTGATGTCGGTGTAAACACGAGCTTTCGACATCGCTCGGCGACTGGAACCGGGAATCTCGACGATAATGTCGAAATGGAGGCGATCGACCGTACTACCGACGACGTCGGAGGCGGCAGGAACGGAGGTAGCGACAGGTAAGGGCAGGATAGGAGAGTGCGCCGACGGCGCACGTAAGGTCAAGACGGCGTAGGCTAACAGGAAACGTCGGAGAGGGAGAGATGCGAAGAGGAAACAGGAGGAGGAGAGGATTAGCGCATCTATCACCCAGTGCGCGCTTCCACACCCGAATTTTTCCTTTTTGCGGCTTTTACGCAACCCCAAAAAAACACACGGGTATTTTTTTATTTATAAAGAATAAAAAATAAGGCCCAAGAGAATCTCTCCACACTTTATTTATTGGGCCTATAGGCCCAATAAAATGTCATGTGGCTCATTCACTGGCACAAGGTCGTGAGGTCATCTAACTAGAACAAAACAAGAGCATGTATTCTTACCCGGAGTTTTAAAATTGACCGTTGACCCTTTTACATATGCTCCTCCATTAATAATAATGTCATAGACCAGCTGATAAGAACCCTAATAAAATATTCTCATCACAACACCACAAGAGAACAACATACAAAAAACCCCCTACAGATTAAAACCTGAAAATTTTCAAGATATATTTTCAGGACAATGAGCTAATCGACATCAAGTAACATTCAAGCTCAATACTTGGAGCCATGGCTGCTGCTGCTTCATCAACATCTCCTGTCTCGTTTGTTCTTCGGTAACGGCACTATCATTTCCTCTATTGTTGCTAGATCCCGTCGACGACGATGACAAACTCCGGCGAGAATCCGAATTTTCCGGCGATTCTGATGAGTTTTTCTTCGGCTTCTTCTTCCTCGGCCGGTTGAAACATGTCGGTCCGAGTGTTAGTTCAATCTCACTCTCGTCTATGATCTCTATGTCCGATCCATCGAAGTTGGCATGTCGGTCCAAATCTAATTTGATCCTCAAATCTTCTCGAACGTCGCAGCTGTCGACGTCTTCCACCCTTTCGATGAACCCTATCCCGATATTTACATCATTGTTGTTATGAAGTTCTTGCTTAGATCTGTTCATCTCCATGTTCTTCATCAGTATCTTCTGAACGTGGTATAAACGATGAAGTTCGTTTACCTAATACACAAAACCATGTATTTAATATGAAAAAAATGAATCATTCTCGTTTTAAATTGCATGTATATATGTATATATCTATGTTACGTTGTGTGTGTGTATATATGCAAGAAACATCAACGAACCTGATGCTTGAAAGTTTCTTCGTGTTTGAGCATAGCCATTCTGATCATGTACTTCTTGTCGTACGGATTAAGAAACTTCTCCATGTCCGAAAGAATCGATTTCAGCCAAATTTCAACAAATACGCAATAAATTTCCCCCAAAAGAAAAGGAGCTCCCTTGTTCTAGCAGTCTTGCAAAGGATATTAGTTCAATTACCTGTGAAAATGAAATATATATATATATCAGAAAAAATATCATCATATCCAAATATATAAACAGTATATATCTGCATGAACTGCTGTAATACGATCCACGAATATAAGTATATGGACCCAGTAATACGATATATAATCCTAATCTAAATTTAAAAAAGAGAAGAAATTACGAAGAACATGACTGACCCGAGTTTTAAGAGCTAAGTAGCTGATGATGATCGGGAAATTACAAAATTAAAAGTAATTTCCTTTTGCGAATAATGAGGAAAGAATTGTGCGATGGGGGAAGATCGGCTCTTTTGGATTGGCGTTTTCACATTCCCCGTGATTATATATAACCTTGATATCATTATTTAATTAGTTTAGGATCATTGTTTAAAGTTAAATTAAATAATATAATAAAAGGGTATGCCTTTGCGTTTTTGTATAATATTTTATCTCCCATCACAGAACCCGAAGTGTTTGTTGCAACTCATGCCAAACAAATCCCAGTGCCTTCAGCCAAATTTATGTCACCTCCCAGACAAGCTCCAGCAAAGCTCTACTTACATGTTACGTCCACGTCATGTTTGTGTGTGTGTGTATATCTATGTATGTATGTATGTATTGTATATATTTGTACAGGTATATGATGATTTCACAAGAGAGACAAGCCTATATATTTAAATTTTGGATCCAGCATCACCACGTAATAAATTCGGTAATAAAACAATATCCGTGGGATCAGATTTTAAAAGTATCTCATTTTTTGTTGTCTGCAATTGAAGTTTAAATTATGTAATTATAGTTCTATAAGATCCATGCTCCAATAACGGATCTACAGATATTTTTGTTATATAGCTGTTAAACATTCATATAGACACCAATAGAATACAAAGTTTATTCTATGCTTCGTTAATAAAATCATATTAATTTCACATTTAGATATGGTAACATCATGATTTAGTATTTGTGGTTCAACTAACAACTGTGTACCTTGTACAGGGGATTTGCATGTTATACATACATATATATATATATATATATATATATATATGCATGATTTAATAATAATCGTTGCTATGATATAAAAATAACAGGCAAAGGGAACATCTTATATCTTGCTGAGCTGAAATCACATGCAACCCAGATTAACAAATCAACACAAACAGTTGTCTTAATCACTCAAATAAACATATATTTAATTTATGTATACGTATACTTATGTACCGATTAATATATAAGCATGCAGAAATGTGCAAGTATAAATGTAGACACCATAAATAATTGGAGCAGACTTTCGGGATGGTTAATGGAGGGGATAATCATAATAAAGGGCGAGCGAATCAGAATCTTGAAGGGTTGGCATGTCGTTGGGTCCCACATACGGAGAGATCGTAGCCGTTAGATTTTGGTGGGCTGCCTCCTCGAACATTCCAAAGGCTCAGCACAGGATCTGATCCCACCGGATCTACCCAAGCAGCGACCGATTACGTATATTGTAATATAATATGTTAATTGTTGTATTATTACATGGTTTCCCACTAATTGTTCTTGGACCGACTTTTTCCAAATTAAATTATCCGCTTTGAGTATGCATGTTTGTTCCTATTTTTTTTTAAACCAATACATCACTTTAATGCAAAAGTATGATAACGATAATAATCATTATCACAATAGTCGACTTTGTAGTGAGTCGTTTTGCGTTGTCATTTGTGTATATTTATTTTTTCAGTTTCGAAGAATTATCAATGGACTGATAATATTTCATTTATACAAGTCAAAATGCGTACTGGATTGACCTGATATTCACCGTAGAACTTGTTACCGACAATTATATGTCACACTAAAAATCATTTTAGAGGTAAATTAACGACTAGCTCAACGCATTAGTTAATAGGAATTACTATTTCTTTGACAAAACTCTAAGTGCATCGGAGAAGTCTCCGACTCGGTTGGAAAACGACAAGCTCCTTCTATTTGAGGTTAAGGGTTTAAGGGTTTGATTTCTCCTAATGTCATGCTTTCCCTGAACCGGTCAGTTTCGATCGGTTTATCTATTCTATGTGGTTTGCCGGTTATTATGTAAGACCATGTGGGTTGTGAGGCATTGCGGGTCCGGTCAAGGGCCGGTTCCCAAACGATTAAAAGTGCATCGAAATGCGGGTTTTAGTTTTGGGTAGTGTTTCCACCATGCAATTGAAGAGAGAGGGAGAGAGATGCACGCGTTGCCGGGCGAGGGTAGGGGCCGTGGGTTCATGGAGAAGGCTGAAACCAAAAAAGGTGACGTGGCATAATGATCATTAGGCCTCACTGGGTCCCACCTCGGAATGTGCACTTTGAACTTTGAACGGACCCGATCACGTTAGAACCTCGGATATCTAAGATGGTGTGGTCAGTGTTAGAGATAAGATGCGTTAAAGAACATAAAAACAACATGGAAGATCTCTTTTTGATATAACAATGTAGAAGAAATATTTTTTTTTAGTCATGGAAGAATTGAATTGTACAAATTACGACAAAGTTGGTAATTAAATATATGCTTATGCAATATATAAATTATAATACGTACGTAAAATGATAACAATAATCGTATGGGTAATATGGGGGCATATGGACCCTTTCATAACAATTCGTAGGTTTCGGAGCACACGAGGATCTGACGGCTACCGCAGCCATGTCCTGTCTCTTCTTCCACGGGGGGCTTTCGAGCAGTTCATCCTCAAAACTCGAGTCCTCGTGAATATTCTTATTTATTTAATTTCTAATTATAAGTCAGTACTATATATTTAATTATTCTTAAAGTGAGATAAAAGCTTATATAGTCATAAGCATGATTAAATGTTTAATGCGACCGTAACTGTTTTAGTGCGTTGGGAAGAGGCATGTTGAGAAAATCAAGGATCACGATCCTCCTCTCTACTTCTGAATCTCGGGTTTCCCAATTTCATAATCACGAGCTTAATTATTAATATATTAGAAAACGATGAGGTTATAAAAAAAATTATTATTTTAATTACAAGGCAGTAACAAGCAATTATGACGCCCAATGGAATCTACACAATTTATTTTCCTTGATCATTTTCGAAGCTCTGCTGTAAATGTGGTGTTCCTGGGCCTTCTTAGCCAGTAGATGGCCCATATTTCTCAATTAAAAGTGAAGGCCCAATAAAAAGCCCATTTAATGAATTAAGGCTTTTTGGTCGGTTTGACAAGAATACGTCGGTCCAATTTTTTTTATCTGCACAGTTGAATTATATATGCTTAAGCTTTATTATGTTAGTTTTGACATTTAGCCGATATGTCCCACCCAAATGAAGAGCGTGCCTAGCACAATATTTGCATAATAACAAAATATTATATATTATGTTATAATAAAGATATATGAAACAATAATTCAGAAGCGATCCAAGATGCTCCTGTTACGGTGTTACCTACAAAAGACGTGCATGCGACATCGCCACTCTCCATTTTGTTTTGTCATGATCTTAGTGAATTAGTCATAATCTTAATTGGTTAAGTTGATATTATAAATTTACATTGTTCTAAATAGAATTCGATTTTTGTAACAATTCAATATATAACACGAACTTCCGAGTGAACCGTAAGTTAAGCACATAATAAATTACCATTTTACATTATTAAATGGTATACAGACATTTGTTAATCCCATTAATCAAGTTGACCGGTTTTAAAATATATATTAACGAAAGCCCGGTGTGGTGCATTTAACTTAAAATCTAATATTAAAAATACAATTATAAAAATAAATAAATCAAGTGGAACATATTCTTATGAATTTTATATTTCACTATATCCTCCAAGCCCGTCTCCTATATAAAGCCCCTCATTGTGCAACTTCATTACACAAGCAAAACACAAAGCAGCTCTTCTTTACCTTGTATTGAACTAAAATCTATATAGTCCAACGCTTGGGAGAGATGGCTCGGTTCGGTCTGGTCCTAGCCACGGCTCTTTGTCTCGCCGTCTCCATGTTCCCTGACCTAACCACGGCTCAGCTGATGCCCAAATTCTACGCCAAGACATGTCCCAACGTCGAACAAATCGTCAGAAATGTCGTCAAGAGAAAAGTCAAGCAAACCTTCGTCTCCATCCCAGCCACTCTCCGCCTCTTCTTCCACGACTGCGCCGTCTCTGTATGTCCATATACATACATACATATATATATATACGTATATACGACATGTATTTGTCAGTTTCTAACATGATATATATGCATACATTTTGGTTTCTTGTTATTGATATCTATATCTATTGTAGGGATGTGATGCATCGCTTATGATTCAATCAACACCGAACAACAAGGCGGAGAAGGATCATCCGGACAACTTGTCATTGGCCGGAGACGGGTTCGACGTGGTGATCCAAGCCAAGAAAGCCCTCGACGCTAACCCTAACTGCCGTAACAAGGTCTCTTGCGCCGATATCCTTGCCTTGGCTACCCGAGACGTCGTCGTCGAAGTAAGTTATAACCCCTCGATCCGGTATACAGATATATATTATACAGTCTTAACGCATGCATCATGTATCCTTTTCGTGAAATGACCGGAACTATATGTTATATGTATGATATATATATATATATATAGGCAGGAGGACCGTTCTATGAAGTGGAGCTCGGAAGGTTCGATAGTTTGGTGTCAAAGGCAGCCAGTGTCGAAGGAAACTTGCCCAAACCGACCGATGATCTTAACAAACTCAATGCCCTCTTCAGTAAGCTGAAACTTAGCCAAGATGACATGATTGCTCTCTCAGGTAACGCCATTATATACATTAGCCACACACACACATATATATATATATATACACGTATGTATATATATTTGTTCAGTCTCAATATTGTGAATGCAATCTAAACCGTGAGATTGAAACGTGACGCAGCGGCACACACCGTCGGATTCGCGCACTGCAGCAAGGTGTTCAACAGAATCTACAGCTTCAGCAAAACCAGCCCCGTGGACCCTACATTGAACAAGACCTACGCCAAGGACCTTCAGATGGCATGCCCGAAGAAAGTGGACCCCAGAATCGCCATCAACATGGACCCCACCACTCCAAGGATCTTCGACAATGTCTACTTCAAGAATCTCCAACAGGGCAAAGGACTGTTCACCTCCGACCAGGTTCTCTTCACCGACAGCCGTTCTAAGCAGACCGTCAACGCCTGGGCCAAGGACCCGCAAGCGTTTAACCGCGCGTTTGCGACCGCCATGACCAAGCTCGGCCGCTTTGGCGTTAAGAACCGCTTCAATGGAAACATCCGTCGCGATTGTGGTCGATTTAACTGAACATGATTCGGCCTAACCCAAAGTGTGATCCCCCCCCCCCCTTTTTT